AAATTTAAATTACATCAAAATTTAAAACGAATATAATTAAAAAAAAACATGTTATTGTTCCTATAAACTATAAAAAAAATTTAAATTAAACTAAAAAAAAATACTTAAAAAACCACATAAAAAAAATTTCTAAAAAATTTAATTAAATGAAACAAATTTTTTTTTTATTAAAATTAATAAAGTCTTAGCATTACAAGAAAATGGCACACCAGTGCTTTCCTGACTTGGCCATTGCGGCTGTGGGTGCAGCGCAAGCAAAATGCTATACATACCTAGTAGATACTTTCTCTCAAAAGAGCTTGTCACCGTGAAAGTTGCCAATGGAACATTTTCTGTAAGACTTTCGTGCCAGAATAAACCAAATCTTTCAAACAATCTTGCCTACTTTCATTCAATTGTCTTATAAAAGACTTTCAGCTATCCTTTCTGGGATTGCTTGTTAATCAATAAACCGAATATAACAAAGAGAAGAATGCAAAAAACGTAAAACTCGTATGGAAGGTCTATGGTTAGTTCGTCGACTGAAAGAGAATGCAACTTTTCCACTCTCAAAATAACTGAGCCGAAAATGCACCAACTCAGTGCTTTTTTCTCTCTCTATGAGGACCTTGTCTGACTTTTTCAGGAAACTATTCTCATTAGCAGACATTCACCGCCATTCTTGGCCCTGTAATGCATCTGATCCAATCGAAAGATCTAATGAACCGCAGTTCTTCGGCCAGTTTGTTACCTTGAACACCATAGTGTTCCGGTATCAGTTGAAGCAACTTATTCTGGAAAGTTTTTGAAGACGTTCTGCGCTACCTTTCGCCAATTGTCCAGCTTCTAAGTACTAACTGTACATGTTACCAAATGAAACCCGTTGGCATTATACCTGTAGCAGGAAAACATCTGAAGATACCTCCCAAAGGCTAGAGAGAGGCTAAGGTTCCATTATGACACCTGGTTGCTTAAAGCTATAGAAAGTTTTCGCCGAGTTGCTCAAAAGAAGGTAAGGTTTCCTCTATTGCAACTTTGAAAAAAAAGTAACGACATAATTTCTTTCAAAACCGGAATCCGATCTGTGTGTGATGAGGCGGGGTTTTGTGGGGCCGACAATGCCCCCCAAAGTTTACTTAATCATAGTTTAAACTGGCACGGAAAAACTGGCTGTAAGGCCTACTATAGGTCCTGAGACACCGTCCGAAATGGAAAACTGGCCGTCTGTCTCTGTGGACAGACCAATACGAATTTGACACATATTTATGAGAACGCAGACCCCTATAGCTAATGAGTAGCCCGTAGTTAGTTCGTTAAAAGTTTCTTTCATCCCCCTTTAACATCACAAACACAGGCATTTTCAGCTGAAGTTTTAAGTTAACCATTAAATTCAGAGGCTGCCAGGTACACTGCGTGTAGATACGAGTATTTTTATCTAATGATCGGATTATACTTTCGAACCAACGATAGACTAAATCCATTTCTCCTAAGCATCTACATTCTTTTTTAAAAATGTATCCTGCATCTTCTTTCTAGGTGACCTTGTTAATCAATAACGCCGGTGTCGTGTCTGGGCGTCATCTTTTGGACACACCCGATCATCTCATCGAGCGTTCCTTCAACGTCAATGTGATGGCTCATTTCTGGGTATGTAAAATTTTTCAATTACTTTTACAAAACATATGCAAATAGTAGAACAAAAATTATTTAGTTTGCATATTTTTTACCATAAAAAAAAAACTGTTTTCATTCGTGACTTTGCAGACTACTAAAGCCTTCCTACCAAGGATGATTGAGCAACAGCGTGGACATATTGCGACAATCGCCTCTTTGGCCGGACATGTGGGCATTACCAAGCTGGTCGACTACTGCGCTAGTAAATTTGCTGCTGTAAGTACTAAATTACCGCTATAATTATTAACAGAGTTTCATGATTAAATCAGGAGTATTGATGGAAAGGCGCGCATAAAATCGATTCTTGATATCAGAATCGACTTTCAGGTTTTCGATTCTTAAAGTCATCTCATTTATTCATTCATAAATCATCTCTGATAGTCGACTTTATGTCTTAAACAATTAATACCTTCCATTCTTAAGTAATGAATTTAAAATTAATTATTTCTAATAATTCAGAAAATTATATTTTATCCAGGGACATAACAGTTATAAGTTTTATCGCAAAAACGTTGATCTATAACAGTTATTAGATGAGAAATATTTTTTCCGTTGCCGATAAGAGTTATTTCCCACGCGTATTTTTTACGTTGCCTGATAGCACTTACTGCTAGTGAGGTGTCAAATTACAGGGGTTGCCACCTGTTAAAAATCTAGCTTAAAATTAATTTATAAGTTAAATGATTTACTTCATCATGGGTATATACCGAAATAGTTTTGACAGGGGTTTTCGAAACTGCATGAAGGAGGGTTGCCGCCTGTTTGAAAAGCTACATTGAAATTTACACGTACCGAAGATGTATATATCGTAATTCACTAAGGCCCTGGTCCACTTCCCGGAAAAAAGGATTATATATGGTAATCTAATCGAATCGGGCCATAAATAGGATTTTTTCGAATAGATCGGTCCCTGGTCCACTTCCCGGAAAAAAAGATCCTATATCCTAATCCATGCAAAAAGCTACCTACGCACAGTGCAAGATTTTACCCATCTAGCTGCTTTTAATTCTGTAATTCGAAAACTATTGAATGAAATTTTTCACAAGGTATGTTATAAGATAGGCGAAGCTTTTTACAAAAAATTGGTCATTTAGAGTTATTGCCACGCCACCCTATTATATAACTGCAATTTTTAAAACGGCAAAAACTGAAATATTTAACTAACTACAAAGGCTAAAATGCCCAAAATTTATATTTAGAATTTCCCAATAACAATGAATTATAAACTGACAAAAATGGACTTAAAAATAAATATTTTTTTTTTAAATTATGTGAGTGGAAAATATCGATAAAAATTATGTTGGGTCAACCAAATTCCGTTATAAGTTCAATATTTCTTGCTCTATTTACAAATGTGGGGTACTATTTGAAAGGCTATGAATTAGGCTTTCTCTATTTAAAGCGGATATACAAGAATTTGTCTCGGCCGAGATGAAATTCAAATAAATTACTCGAAGAAAATGAAATTCCTAGTAGACCTGAAAAATGAAAATTTCATTAAAACCTGCATTTTCCAGCAGCTCAAATTGTGTTGTTTAAAGTCAAAGAGGAGCGGTAAATAAACTGAGATACAAACTTTATCGAATAGTGGCGGATAACGAGTTTGCGGGTCTAATGAAATTAATAAATTGCTAAAAATAAATCTAAATTAACATCGTTTTACATTAACATGAAATACTCTGTCCTAGTTTACTAAAATCACAAAAATTTATATTCATTAAAAAGAACATACCTAAAAAAATAAGACCGAAATGGTATTTTAGCAAATGTTGCATAAATCACACAACGCCAACAAATTAAACATTGAGATTCAGTTTCAAATATACAATTTTAGATAATACTGCGCTCGGTAATCTTCCAAATCGAATCCCGTCCCGCCCTACACTTTGGTTTATATTTTGTAATTGTTATTGTTTCGTCTTTAGTAGGCATTTTTAAAAACATTTTTGACGTTGTTTTGAAATTTGGCGACATAAAATAATGTAATTTATATTTTCTAGAATGTGGAAATAATGCACTGTGCTACGTACCAAAATTTTAAGCAAATCGGACCATAAATACGATTTTTCCAATAGATCGGTCCCTGGTCCACTTCCCGGAAAAAGGGATCCTGTATGCTAATCTAGGCAAAGATACCTTCATACCAAATTTTAAGCAAGTCGGACAATAATCGGTCCCTGGTCCACCTACCGGAAAAAAAGTAAATTGTTTTTTACCTAAAACGTGGTGATCGCTGAAAGCTATTTATACACAAAATTTCATCAAAATCGTATCAGCCGTTGGCGAGATTACCTGTTACAAAAAACATTTAATTAATAAGAGTTGGGAAATAACTCTAATCGGCAACGTAAAAAATAAACGTTGGGAAATAACTATTATCGGCAACGGAAAACATATTTCTCATCTAATAACTGTTATGAAACAACGTTTTCGTTAAATTTCAGAATTGGGGCAACGTTTTCAATTTGTAAATTCGAGATAACAGTTATTTTTGGTCCCTGATTTTATCAGCTAATTGCACTCGATGTTTAGTTTTATAAATGAGGTAATAATGTTAGCATCGAATACTTCGACTCATCAAGTGAGAATCAATTCTAGTCGCGGCTGAACTCGATTCCAAAAGTCGAATTTTTGCAGCAAATAGTCGATTTTTGACTTAAGTCAGAGCCGACTTTTCCATTCCTAAACAGAAGCATTTCAGTTCATTTGGGCTTTCGGCTGTAGGGCCATGTGGAACCTAGATTTTCTCACGTCTTCTTGTGGCCGCATCGTACTTAATAAAAAGACATAGTGGTGTCTCTTTAGCTGCGCGACTTCTTAATCCTTTCAACTCCGATTCTTTTTCGGCAAAATTCCTATCAGTTTTTTCTTGTTTAACTTGTATAAACCATTTAAGTTAGACAAAATTTGAATTATCGGCTTATCTAAGTAAATTATTTCCAATGTACCCATCTCAAAGGTCGGCTTTGATGAGGCGCTACGTTTGGAATTGGATGTTCTTGGACATAGCAACATACAAACCACTTGCATCTGTCCGTTCTTCATACAGGCCACCGGCATGTTCGATGATGTCAATGCCAGGTAAAACAATACATACACACAAGAAATATATCTAACTGAAGAATGCATACATAATCTCCTTTTAGATGGGTACCCACACTAAACCCCAACGATGTAGCCGATCGCATCATACTGGCGATCAAGAAGAACGAGAAAATTACAATCATTCCAGGCTACATCCGGCTGCTGCTCTCCCTTAAATGGTAAGTGTTGATGGCATAACATATTTTTGAGACCGCAAAATCAAATATTTGCTAAATCCGTATTTTTTTTCTCCCTGCATTGTCACAGGACGTTCCCTTGGGGCTGCGTAGGCGGTCTGTTGCGTCGGCTTGTGCCTGATGCGGCACCACATGGCGTTGCACAAAAACCTCCTCCAGCCACGGCCAGCAGCACAAAGCAAACGCAACAACTATTAAACAACAACAACAGCATTCCAGCCACCCCACTCGCCCACGCCAGCAGCGCGATACCCAAGCACACCACCGAACTGTGCACCGAATTCAGCGAAACGCTGCCGAAGACCGCCTCGTTGCTGGTGCAACGTACTCCGTCGCTGGGCGAGCGCGTACTCTGAGATTCGCTGCTGTATTTCGCTTTTAATTTATTTTGCGTTTTTGGCGTTGTCAGCTGCTGCTACCAGTAGCCCCCCCCCCCCCCTTCTAGGGCGCCGAGTTAGCGCAAGTGGCCACCAGCAGAGGCATTCTTTAGAGGATTTTCGCGCGCCGCGGAACGCGCAACCGTCTAGTGATATTACGTTTACTTAGTATTATGATTAATTTTAATTTCAATTTATAAGCCTCGATTGGCTTATTTAGATACTCGTGCGAACGGTTATGAGCAGATATATGTACGTATGTATGTATGAAGTTATGAAGGTAACTATCGAGCGTAGTAGAACAATAATTTAAGAATGGACGGGTATTATTCGTAGTTAGTATTTAACTCGAATTCGGAAGTACGCATTTTATTGTAAAGTTAATTTCTTTTTAATTCCAATGGGTGTAAGTCTAGCTCAATAACCTCAAAGTAAGGTATGTATGTAGATACATGTTTTCAAATAACCGCTAATTATGTCAAAGAAAATATAAGAATCGGAAAATCATTTGAAAGTTTAATTTATTTAAATTTTCAGAATTAATGGAAGCTCGAGTAAAGCGCTTTCGATTGAAAGCTCTTGTGAATTGAAGAATGCTACATTAAATATATTCGTATAACTGCTTTCGTAAAAAGCTTTATGAACTTGATTAAATAAAATAAATCTCACAAACCCAAAAAAATGTATTTTAAGGTGTAAATTCAGATAGAAAAATTTAGTAAAGAAAGGGAGAGTGCTTTAACATACTTCTATGGTATACCACTCTCAACTCGCAGGGCATTGCTCAGCCCTTAGTCTTAGAGTCAACCCAGAGAACTAATAATATTTTCGGCTAGAAATTAATTACTAAACATTACCAAGGTTAAAACGCCAAATCCTAGGATAAACTTAGCAAATGAAGTATCTGGGATCCGTACTAAGTGGATCCTGGATGGAAGCGAGCTTCGACTTACATTACTATTGCAAGTATTTTTTCGGGAAGATGTGCGGTCTCAATGCAAAATTTGTACTCTGGAAAGAATGTTGTGTGGAACCTGTAATAGCAAACAAAACTAGACAGAATTCAAAGAGCTGTCTGTGGCGGCACTAGAGAGTCGAAGAGAATTTGATCTACGGAAGCCTCAATATTATAACCAACCTACTTCTTATAGACCTTGCTTTAGGGCCAAGAGAACTCGGTTTATATTGGGATATAGTTAGTAGCATAATTTCTTGATACTTTTCCAGATAAGACAGGACACTAAATATAGAGGAGCTGAAATAAAATTACACCGGTTCGTGGTGGTCCATCACACATCGAAAGCGGACTGGGATGGAGAATTTAATACCTCCGCCAACCTGGATACATCATTTGTACACCGCTGACACCCAAATGAAAAGCTGAGTTGGAACTGTCATTTTTACTGAACACCTGGGAGTAAGAAGATCGATACATCTGCCTGACTTGAAGTAGCTTTGCTATCGCATTTTAGACCGTTGCAGTTTAGAGTTCGACCGATGAATCGGCCGATGTCGAGGCTAGTATCGGCCAAAATAATCGGAATCAGCCGTTTTTGACAGATTCCTGAATGAGGTATTGTTATTTAGTTATTTGATTATGTTTTTCTTTTGTTACTATAAAAATTTATAAAAGCATTTGTCTTGAAATGAATTTAATTCAGGATTTAATCGGCAGAAGCATTTCAAAATTTTTAATTAGAATATCTAGAAAATTTTCGGGTTATCAGTTTTGTAGACCATTCAATTGTAGTATAATAAAGTGCAAATTTATGGTCGTTAAAAATTACCGTTGGTTTTTTAGAATTATTAATTTGTGGAGGGTGTTGCGCATTTTCTTCCATATAACACATGATGAAATTTTTTTTATATAAAAAAAACAACAACACCCTCTTCAAAAAAAATGCTAAGTTATCAACGATAATTTTTAACGAATTGAAACTTGCGCTTTCTTGTACTACAATTGAATGGGCTACAAAACTGCATACCCGAGTATTTTCTAAATATTCTAGTTAAAAATTTTCAAACTTTGATGACAATTTTTTGAAGTTTGATTATTTTTTTTGCAATTTGTTCAAGTCTTTAAATTTCTATTATTGTGGTTTCTATTAAAGATTGAATTTTATTTTAAATAAACATTATTAAAAATAAATAAATAAACATAAAATGCAAACAAAATCATTTTGAATTTCGGTGGTAATTAGATTAGATTAAATTTTCATTAAAATCCCATTTGATCTGTGAAATGATATACAAAATAGGTCCATTCAATATAAAAAAATGTTTACGGATTGTTACTAGTACTTGCAAGTTTTTACTGGAAATGCATTCAATAACCCAAAAAAAAAATTGCAAGAGCGACCGAATTCGAGAGCGTAACAGCCTGAGAGAGCTGCAAATTCTTGCAAATTCAAGCATAGTTTTTAAGAGGATGATTTGATGAAACACGAGCCCGCGGGTACCCGCGAGTGCCCAAACCACCCCAGAAAGCGTTCCTCACGCTAGAAAACTGGGTAATAGAGAGCAAATACGTTCCACTTTTGGATCGTAAATATCTTCTTCTTTGTGCACGAAACAGCCAGGACTTTTTTTCTGGGCACAAATGTGCAAAAGGTCAATTTAAAATAAAACAGCTGTTGTTGTTTAAATCCGAAAACAAATTTTATAAAAACAAAAGTGGAAAATATCACAGAATTTTCAGAAAATGCGGTAATTTGGTAATTTTATTAGCCACATAAAATCATTGTTTAGAACTGATATGCTGGTTCCGGGCACGAAATGTGGTTTTTCCGTTCCTCACCCTCTGAGCACTTTCGGCACGTGCTGGCACATTTTTGACACTTGTGAGAGAGCAACTTATTTGTACGCTCTAATTAGCGGAGCAGCCCGGAAAGCGTGTTAAGTTAAAATTATTGAAATAAAAATATGGATGAACAAATTCAATCTAACGCATATATTTTTTTTTATGACGATGGGAACTATTCCCAATTGAACAGAAAATTGCGCGCCTAAACTTAACCGTCAGAAAGTGGCGTTCAATAACTTTTTCTGTTTAGTTCTAATTATTTTTTTTACGATAAATGTCAATTTGCTCCACAGCTAACCAAAGTCTCAAACCGCAATTTATGCTCTAACCGGGTGCACAGAATGCCTAGTTTTCGTAATCGATATTTGCAAAGTGCAGGGTGTTTCGTGAGTATTAAACCTATTGCACATAAATTAAAAATTAACCATTTCCTTTTACGCACCAAACATTTCTAGGCATTAAAAATAAAACGAATGCAAAAAATTTATTATAATCATCTTCATAAACACATAATCAACTTCCTCAAAAGTTAATCATTTTATTACTTTTCGCACATACGGCATGTTTATGCCAACATTTTGGAGTGGCAGCGCCGCGATTTGACAGCTGTCGAAGATCAGCGTTGTATTTCGCGGCGGTCTCAAATGAAAAGTTTTTAAGCCAGAGGAAAAGTTTAATAAATAATATAGTTAAATTTTTACAATTTTCCGAATTAGAACTCTTAAATTAAGTTTGTTGCATATCTAAATATCACACACATTTATCGCAACTAAAATTGGTCAACAACAAAAACAATTCAGCGTCACACATTTCTGGCCGGATTCAAAACGATTGCATGCACCAGTTTATATTTGTCCGACGAGCGACGCGGACACAGCGACGGAGTGCAACAAATACGTGACGGTAGCACAGCATTTGAGTGGAGTCGTGAAAAGTGGTGGCAGGAAAATTGTGAAAATTTTCCAACTTGCATTGAGATAATCAGATACAAATCAAATCAAGTTGTTAAATATAACTAGCAAATGCAAAAAAGTTGGAAAGAATATTGTGCAAAATGCAATAGAAAGTTTGCAATTGCCAGTTTAATTTGTGGTTGTACAAGAAAAAATCAGAAATTGAGCGAGAAAAGCGAAGGAGTGGAAGAAAAGTGTACGCAAAACAAGAATTTTTTGTGTACTCCACGAGCGAGCGCGATTGTACGAAGCAGCAGCGAAGAAGGTTGCCGTCGCGACGTCACCGAAAATCAAAGTGAAAAGGTAAAACTGGTGAAATATAGAAATTAGTAAAATAGGAAGGAAAATCCTTAAACAAACTTGGAAAATTCGTGTGCTTTGTGAGTGGAAAGTCCACTGGTTGAAAATTTACGTTTTTGCATGTGTACATGTGTGTGCTTGTGTTGATGTGAAAATTTCGAAAAGTGAAAAGTGCTTGCAGTTGCATTGCATTCCAATGTGCCAGCAACAGCAACAACAACAACCAAAAATTTGTGAAGTTGTACAAAGTGGGAAAAATTGAAGAGAAAAGCAGCCGTTGAAGTGGTAAGCGTACAAAACGAGCGCCCAAAGTCGGGCTCGTGGCACGAAAAATCCAACAAATTTTAATATAAATTATTCACAGAAGTAGAGATAACATAAAATAAAGAAGAAATATCGTTTGGAGTTTTGTCTGCTGCTTCAGCTCAGCTACTACGCTCATAAGTGTATTCGTGTGTATTTGAGTGTTTGTGTGCGTCCACGGATTATTGGATTATTACCTGTTTCGCTTCTTCTGCCAGCGCAGTCGCCGCTACAGTGTCGTTAACGGTCGACGTCGACGTTGACGCTAACAGAGCGACCTGACATTTTTCGGCTTTGCTTTACGGATTATTCGTCGTCGTTCGTTGCCACAGCCGCCGTTGATGATGCCTCCGATTTGCCCACAAAATATGCAACAAAAACATCAGCAGCGTCATCTCCAGCTCCATCAGCATTAATGGAATAGTAGAGGCTGCTAACGACCGCATCGCCACATTAAATGTAAATATTATTTTTTGTCTTAACATTTTTACAAGTGTTTAGTTGCATAGATGGGCACTCAACAAACCTGTCCAATTACATGTCCTTTTTATGTTTTTGATGCCCTAATGAGTTACCCAAGTGCATGTGTATGTATGTATGTATGGAATTCACATTTTTACTTACACATCCAAGAACCCTGGAACAGGTCTTTCATAACGCCATATGTAAAATATGATTAAAAGATATACATACATACATACAGATATACTACATATAGAGAATGATTTGTTCCAACAATTCGTCGCGATACCTGTGTATTTATTTTCAGCTTAGATTTATTGGGTAATTACTGTAACTAATTGGTAAGTAGTTGTGTTTAAATTGTACTTTCGTTATTGTGGAAACGGTATTGTTTTGCAGATCTTTCCTCTTATTATTTGAAAAAATCGAATGTACCGCGCTTGTTTATCGAATCCGAACAATAAATCGAAAACACAGACCAAAGCTGGCAAGTGGCTAGGTATTCGACTAAGAACAGCTCTAATCTGATGTATCCGGTATTAATTTCCGCTCTAATCACTTCCTAAACGCTTTTAACAAAAAGTTGGATTTTCCTTCTTAGCAACTGGCATTAAAATTTTGCACGTATGGTGTTTTTTCTAGAGTTATGTTATCTTTTTCTTAACAACGGTCGCCCCTCGGCAGGCAACGTCAAACCTCCGAGTGTATTTCTCCTAAAAAAAAAACAGCTTCTAATCAAAATACAATCGCCGTTCGGAGTCGGCGTAAAACTGTAGGTCCATATTTGTTTGACAACATCAAGGCGCACGCCACAAATCGGAGGAGAAGCTCGGTCAAACACTAACATATTTTTCATTTATTTTTAAACATCTTTTTTTCTAAATCCTTATTCATAAAGGCCGGTCCACATAGAATTTTCGCGTTGGCTTTGGCGCTGGCGTTGGTTTCACAGAACGCACGTTAAAAGTATGCTTGCTACAATGAACGCTTGGCAGCGAGTGCTTTGACCACTAAATTAATCCACGATGAGGCGAAAATGCTCCCAATTAGGGAGCACAACACGATGCTCTGCAAGCAGTTTCTTGTTGGGAGCCACAGATGTGGCCACCCAAATAGACAGCTGCTTGCAGAGGACCCCTCGCCGAGGCACGTCAGGAGGCATCTAATATATGAACTGATGGACGAAGTCCAGAGGTTCATTAAGCTGCCTCTGGACCCGTCAGCTTACAGACAGGCCCTGAACGGCATTCACAGGGACGCAGTCTCGAGTTATATAGACTCAAGACCTGTGAATGCCGTTCTAGGCACACAAACACCGGACATTGACGCGACGGTGCTCCATCTGCCTCGGGAGACCAGAACAAGAATAGCCCAACTTCGCTCTGGCTACAGCAGCAGGCTAAACTCCTACCTGAGTAGGCTAAATGCGGATGTGCCGAACGAATGTCCGGCATGCGACCCCTCACGACTCGAAACATCTCTTCGCATGCCCGGAAAACCCCACAACCCTAACGGCGTCGTCCCTGTGGACCGACCACATAAGAGGCTGCACGCTTCTTGGGGCTGCCGTTAGTGGAACTCGACGACAACGACTGAGATATCAGCCGATCTGGGCGGGGTTGATGTAGCCGCTACAACAACAACAACAACCACTAAATTAACATACTAACGACAGATAAATTCTTATTTCATATCAATAATTGCACGAAAAATTATATTTTTTGCCCAGATTTGTTTAAAAATTAAAAATATTTTTGCCAAATTCAGAGAGCTGCCAAAATAACATATGATAATCTTTTATCCCGGCGACGATATGAACGTTCATACATACATATGGATATATATATGTACATAAGTATGTGTGTATGTATGTATGTGTGTGTGTGTACATTAGGGTGCACACCGATTTTTTTTTTTTTTAATGTCAAAACCATACCATAGAGATCAACTTTAAAATTTGTTGTGAAAAGAAAAAATTTGTAGCTTTCGTCAATTTATTCCTTCCACAACAAATTTACAACAAAAACGCTACAATTAATGCCGTTATAATATTTTCAATATCTCAATTCTATCGACTAGGTGTATGGTGTCAAGTTAGCAGTGCATGCCATTTTTTTCTTAAAAAAAGTGAGCTACACATTTTTTCTTTCCACAACAAATTTACAACAGAAACACTACAATTAATGCCGTAGTTAACTTTCCCAATTTCGAAAAGTGTAGTGCTAACTTGAAAAAATCGCTGTTTAGCAAAACAACTAGAAATTTTAGGAGACTGGGAGTGGCAACGCCCACTTATTGATATGTGCGTATCTCAAAAACTACTTTAGCTAGTTTTGCAAAAACTGATAAATCGACAAAACCGTACTTCCTTGCCTAAAATAAAACATCGCGACCTCTAAAAATTTGTTTGAAAAATCTATAAATATAGGCCATAGCATTTCTCATAAATAAAAGGAAATTAGAGGGTAGGGTCTTGAAAAAAAAAATAATAATATGTAATTTCGATGGGCACCCTAGTGTACATATCACACATAAGATGGATTCTAACATCTTTATGCCACTTTCCAGCTATCCAAACTCTTGGGAGTACATATTCAAGAAGTGCCTTCACACTTTTACAAAATTTCGAAGCCGCGTGATTTCATGCAATTCTTTACATTTATCGAGTTTACAAAATTTCCTTCCATTTCTTTTGCTGGCAGCAATAAAAATAATAGACCTGCCAAAATACCAAAAAACAAAAAAAAAACTTATAAAAGCATAATTGAATGCACAAATTGTTCGCCGTTCCCATTGCGCCGTTGCATGCAATCTACTCGTACATAGTACTTACAAGTAAGCAGGTACAATAACTACAAGCAAGTACATAAATAAATACTTTGCCGACATTACCGCCGGCCATTACCATTACTTCCAGTTGGCGGTGCTCAGCTCATTTGCAATGGGGTCAAGGTAGCGAATGGTGGCGACAAAGCGCCTTTACGCGGCGCTACGCTTTTGCTTTGCTTTGCTTTGCTACACTTTGCATATTGCAACTGTTTATTTTGCTTTTCTTTTATTTTCTTTTCTTTTCTGTTGTGTTTGCATTTGGGCATACATATGTGTGCTTTCATTGTTGAACGCTTTTGTATTATTGTCAATGATATTGTTGCTTTAATGCACACATAATATGGCAAATGCACGTGAGGAAACACCCAACACCCAACACCAACGCCAGCGCCAGCGCCGCCAGCACAACCACCACCACCAGCACCTAAATACCGCACAGCAAAAACAAGCGAAAAATAAACGAAAAAAAACGAATCCAAAAAAGACATGCATTAATGGGTAATATGTATGTATGTATGTGCGCATTAAACCACTCATGTGCATGTCGAAAAAACGCGGAATTAAGTGAAAGTGCGAATACTTAACCCTCTGTAGCGCAGCTGTGCCGCAGGGCATTCATTTTGGAAGTCGAATCACTTTTTGCGGCGCCAATTGCTTTCCTCTATTTTAGCAATTTGCGATGAGTAAACCTAAACCGACACTAAGTGGCACAAAAGATATGCATGTGAATTCGGCTTCGAAATCACTCGTCATGAGAAAAAACCTAGCGAACTCAATTTCGATGTGTTCAATAAACGGTTAAACCGACAGAGATACGAGCCTCTAGACATCATTTTTAAATCACTATAGCGATGTGCATATATGTACATATATATGTATGTATGTATGTCTACATCTGTTTGCACATTTCTAGTGAAAGTTCCACGAGTATACATATGTCTCTGTTTCATCTCTCAACACTGTGAAAGGACGATGAAATGCTAGAAAATCGTCGCGAATCGTTAAAAGTACAAGTCGTTTGGAATTCAAGCTGAAGACTATAAAAATTTTATTGTATTTACCATTTAAGGGCAATAAAATAAAACGCTAGCTCAGTGTGAAAAGCTGCTAAGTCGAGTTTTTTTTTTTTTTTTTTTAATTTTACAGGAGGAAATAAAAATCTTTCAAACACGTTTTTTTCAAGCGCTTGTTTTGCAAAAATTTATATACAAACTAAAACAACTCAAAACAAATCAAATTTCGGAATGTTGATGAAAAGTTTTTGTTTTCTGTGACTGGCTTGGACTTAACAAATTTGCGTATTACTGCATATAAAAACTTAGAAATACAGAGGTAGTTGGATCTTTTAGAAAACTATGCATTTTTAATAGTTCTGCTAATATCAAAATATGAATTTTTTTAAAAAGTGGACTTGGCAACCTTTCACTCTAAGCTGGCGAAAAGCTGTTTTATTCTCATTTTACGGCTAGTTCTATACAATTGTCTATAGTTAGTACATATGTATGTACGTACATACATACAAAAATAGTACACAGTTAAATTAAAAAAAAAAATAAGTAAATAACTCAGTAAAACGGAAAAGATAATATCTTCATATTTGACATCAGTAACAAAAATACCAATCCTTTTCGCATAACACTTTTTTTTTTAACAAAAAACCAAAAGTAAAAAAACGGTACAAATTGAAAAAACCTTGTGTGGCCTTATGTTTTGGTTTTAAACTTCACCATATAATTTCGAAATTCAAAATTGCGTATCCTCGCCGCTTCCGATTTTTAGTGAAATTAGTTACTATTATTTTTCTTTTTATTAAAATTTTTCTACTTTGTCCGTAATTTACATACGATACACCTTGGATAACTTATATAAAGTTAATTTTGTATCGCTTTGGTTAAGAAAAATTATTTGAAGCACTGCCCGCGAGACAAAAAAAAACCGACGGCAAAACCACAGTGCACTTTTGGGCAGGTGCTTTTAAGCCAATGGATTGGAAATACTTCAATGTACATACGTACATACATCGACTGCTGAGTGGAAGATCGACCTAAATATCTCGGCAGCCAGTTCGAAAACGCCCTATCTCAAAAAACTTTTCAAGAACGCCCTATTTAACGCCTTATCTCAGAAATCGACGTGTGTCAAGTTAGCACTACACTTTTCGAAATTGG